GGCTCGGAAGCCATTAATGGTGGAGCTACAAGCTCTTGAAGAAGAAAAATATATAAAGTTCTAGAGAGAGAAAGTGTAATGTGCAGGGGAGAGGGTGAGTTTTTGCCCCCCTTAACATTGAGGGGGTGTCATCCTTTTATAGGAGTAGCTGGAGCATCTACAGAGGAATATTCTCTTATTTCTCCATTTTATTAAACAGGCCTGGTTTGACCGTTCTTCATAAATAATTGGAAAATGTGGGCCGAGCCATGTATTATTTCCCATCAAACATGTTTGCCCTTTGCCTCTTTTCTAATTTACGAAGTACACCTTTTTTTCTTTAATTTTTTTGTTGCTTTATGATAAGGGCATTAATGTCTTTTGGCTTAATCATTTTTTCTTTCCTCTTCTCATTTTCTCTTCTTTTTTACCTATCCAAACAATAATTATTTTCTTTTCATTTTTTCTCCAATTTCTTTCCTCTCATTTTCTTTCCTCTCATTTTCCTTTCAAATCCAAACAAAGCCTTAGTGACATTTGTACCTCTAATGCCACCTAATAATACATAAACTTAATTAATAGGTTCCCTTTAATTTTCCAAAATTGCATAATAGCCTCAATCTCAATTATCCAAACTTACATACGTAACCTATTTCACTTCCTTCAAAGTGTTTCATTTAATTATTTCTTACGGAGTACTCCGTATTATTTACTTTTCATGGATAAATATTATTTTAATAATTACGGAGTATTATTTAATTACTTCAAGGCATTTTACTTTTTATAGAGAATTAGTAATTACTTTTCCTGATCATTGTTTTATTGAATTATTTTTCACTAAAAGAAATTGAAAGAATTGGAAGAAATAGATTTAGAAAATATTGGAGGGGTTGAAAAAATAAGGAAGAGTTGGAAAATATTTTTAAAAAGAAAATTGGTGAAAAGAATATTAAAATTTTGAAATTTTATACTTTTAATAAAATAGCTAAAGCTTTATTTATTTCAAAACATTACCTCTTTTTTTTCGTATCATAATTTTTTATTCAACGCGTAATGCATATTTGGAACACTTTGTTTAATACTCCTATATTTTTTAAAAGTCAGAATATTTCTTACCCAAAACTGGGTGCCTGCAATTTTCTGCATATTTGAGGGAGCAAAATTAGTGAATGTAATCACTTTTTCCTGGAGATAAGTCAGTTGCTCTGATTCCTCTGAGAGACGCATATTGTTTAGAAACAGTTAAGGCTAAGAGAATCTGGAGCCACTATCCTTGGCTGCCTCTCTTCTCCGACTCCGCGCAAGAATTTCTAATAGCTGGCAGCACACGGTTCCTCCATTAACGGTGGATTTGTGCTTATCGAGTTGCAGAAATGCTGCAGGCTTTGGCTTTCCGGAGTACTCTTCATTTCGCCAAGAGGGAAAAATTCAAGATTCATGTGGCTGACGCTTTGCCTTGCTTCCCTTTTGCACCCGCGAGAACTAGATTTCTACAACCCTCCATCTGTAAGTTGAACTCTTGATGATGATAATGGCGATTCCTTTATTTTCCTCATCTTAAGCAGTTTGGTTGGTTTTGAAGAATGCCTGTTTGATGAGCTAGAAATTACCTCATCTTAAGCAGTTGTCCGCCTTTTATTTTTAGATAATGAATCATTTTGAATCATCAATAATACCTTTAAAGAGCATATTCTCATTGTTGTCACAAATTAATTTCAGTTTTTTATTTGGTTATTTTACCTTGATTCCTTATATTAAAGTTATTCTGCAGAGTGGGTAACAAAATCCAGACATAGGGAGTAGTTAAAACATAAAAAGGATGTTTCCAGTTTATCGAAATTAACTGCTGTTTGTTTTACTTTGGTGGGTTTGGGATTGTCTAACTTAGACATTATCAACTTGATTTATAAGCATTTGGACAGTGTTTTAAAGCTAACACATTTAAGCTTTATGCTGATATTGCAATTATTTCCTTGGGCGTTTATATTTATTCAGTTTTAGATGCCCACATGTTTTGTATCGATATTGAACTGCATATAATGCATTGTTTGTTTAGTCTGTGATAAAATTTGTAGGAGAAGCCTTCTTTATGACCATGTATATCTACCATTTGTCGAACAGATGTGCCGTGTTGAAGAGATTTTGAATGGGATCTCATGAATATATGTGTTTGTCTTATACTTTATCTGTACGATAATGGCACATTCGCCATGCCTCTGCACAACTTTTTATGAACATGGTTTTTATTGAATATATTTCCATCATCTCCGATGGAGCCAAAGATTCACTACTTTTGGCTTTGGGTTATGATAAAATAAAGCAAAATGGCTCTTTAAATTATATGCGCTTCTTTCAATAGTGAAGTAGCAGTTAGTCAATGCAACTTTTGACGCTCATCATGGGTCATCAGGAAACAACTTCTCCATGTTTTAAACATAGGGTCAGGCTGGGTACATCCAACCCCCCCCCCCACCCCGCAATGGGCGAGAGTCTTTGAGGCACTGGGGTAATGTTGTTGTTAGTTTTTATTCAATATGGAGTACTTTTTCTGGTTTTCAAATGCATGGTGTTAGACATATTATTAGTTAAAGAATATTTGCATTTTAGTCAGGTTCACATTTTCCTAGTAATTTTCTAGTTTCTGATGATGGGATTATACCTTGGGCACATATCTCGACCCCACGCCTCAAGAGAGTTGGGATTATACTGAGTTGTTCTTTTATGGGATATTAGCTGTTGGACGGTCATTTCTTCTTCTATCACTTTTACCATGATAGTTCTAAATAATATCCCTGTCTTGGGTAAATTATTATTATCAGTATTATCATTTTATATCTATTTGATGTGCATTAACCCTGATCTGTAGCTAGTAGTTGGATATTCCCACATCTGCACTGCAGAAGAGCACCCAATATTTGCTTTGGATCATCAGATAGTAATGAAGCATTCGAAGAATCACCAGTTGATGCCCCAGCTAAAGAGTGAGACTTTTTTTTTCATTTCATATTAGGCTATAACAAAAGAACAGTCTCTTCCTTGAACATGTGTGTACACATTTGTACACACAATGCTCTTTTAAGAAGCTGACATTGCTCATTTTGGTTGTTAATGTTGGTCACTTTTTGTGGAAACTGTGAGTTGAGAGAAAACTTATTTTTTAAGCATTGTACTCCCTCCGTCCCAAAATAAACTTCACACTTTCCTTTTTTGTTTCTCCCAAAATTAAGTTCACACTTCTCCTTTTTTCTACTCCTCCGTCCCAATTTAATGTTCTTTGTTTGACTTTGCACAGAACTTAAGAAAAGTGAAATTGTGTGGTTGAAAGCGATGCAGAGGAGAGAGAGAAAAAGTGAGCCACAAAAAGCATTCCAAAGAAAAGGAAAGATGAAGATTAATTTGGGACATCCCAAACAAGAAATAAGGAAGATTAATTTGGAAATGAAATATGTGGCTTATAGTCTTTCTCTCTCTCTAGCGAAATAAGGGATTATTTAGGAATGAAATATGTGCCTTACAATCTTTCTATCTCTCTAACTAAATTCCAATCACCCACTTTTTACTTTTCAACACTTTTCTTAAGCTTTGTGAAATCAAACATGTTTTGTTTCAGAACGGGTGAAATATTTTTTATGAGGAATAAAAATTATAAATTATGAATTTTGATGGAACTAAATGAGTAAACTACAATTCTTATTTTCCATCCTTGTGGTGATATGGGATGCTGTTGATTACCCCCTGTTGTCTCAATTAATTACTCTGTGTTTTTCCCTTTCTGGTCTCTCCCAATTTATATTTTGTGCTTCAATTTAAAGAAAGCACTATGTGGTTCATAGTGTTCCTCTTAGCTCCACATAAATCTCAACCATGTAGTTTTTAGTTTATTATTCTATGTGCGCAATCAAAGTAGGCACCGATGGAGTACTTCGTATGGAAATAGGTAGGAGGAATCTCTGGAAATAATAGGTTAGTGAATATGACCAATTGTATGACATTGTTATAAAAGATTACCAATATGTATTTCTGGCATTATTTCTGTCATCTTAAGTATTATGTTTTCCACCTCAAGTGATACTTTTAAGTTAGCAAGCACACACATTTGTGGTTCTATATTAATCCTCAACATGTGCTCCTATGCATAGACTAGGAATTGCATGACATGATGCCAAACTTGTGAGAATCAATAAGTACTCCCTAGTTACCATAATCAAGTTCCTAGTTTGACATGACACGGTTTTTGAAAAAATGGAAGTTGTGTGGTTGAAGTTTGTTTAGAAGAGAAAGAAACAATACACAAATCTTTTTTAACAGAAAGAAATTTGAACAAAATTTTGGGACGACCCAAATAAGAAGGAACAAAATTCCGGTGCGGAAAGAGTAACGTATAAATGCAACACATTGATATTTTTCCGACATTGATCAGTTTTTGTGATATGTGTTCCTCCTCAACTTTTTTTTTGTATTCTCTTTTTGTTGTCACATACACCTCCATTTAATATGTTGTGTGATGCATTCAGTGAACTCTAAGTAAGATTTTTGTGAATGGCAGTGAGAAGCTCCCTCCTCAAATCCCTTATCCTCTATCAATAGCTCTAGTGCTATGTGGATGTGCTATAGTATTTTCGCTGATTGCCTTTGCAAAAGGATGGCCTCCATTGAGCTTAACGGCATTCTCAAAGTCAGGCTTCACTGCTGCATTCTCACTCATATTTGTTTCAGAAATAGGAGACAAGGTATATATCGTCATATGGACAAATGGAAACTTATGTTGCTCCTTGAGTTGTATTATATACTTCTATCAGACTGATTCTATTTATGACTAACTTTATAGACATTCTTCATTGCTGCACTCTTAGCCATGCAATACAAGAGACTATTGGTATGAACTCTCACTATCTTGCTCTCTCCTTGACTCCTTCCTCTTATGCAGTTTTAATTAGCATATTTACAATTTTCATTTGATCATTTCCTTTATTGTGTAAACATGCTGACATTATGCTTGGTTGAGATTTGAGAATACCCCAACAATATGATCATGAACCCTAAGACTTTACAACACAAAAAACTGATCTTAAGCTCAGAAGTGTATGAAGTGCTCTGTACTGATTAGGTGCTGGTGGGATCAATGGGTGCACTTTCACTTATGACAGTCTTATCTGTCATAATAGGCAGGATCTTTCATTCCGTACCCGCTCAGTTTCAAACAAGTAAGTTTCAGACATTCAAATCTTCTCTGCCTGAGGTTAAAGTAGGATTTTCTTATGACTAATGAGTGATCTGTCTGTATTCTATTTCAATCAAATTACATCTCATCTACTTTTTTACTGCTGTAAACCCCCTAGCTTTCACTTTGCACATTCCTAAAAGGACATAACTTTCTCTATTTCACACTGATTGAGTGTTTGTTATTTAAAATTTGTGATTGATTTTTTAATAGCACTGCCTATCGGAGAGTATGCAGCAATAGCACTTCTACTATTCTTTGGTCTCAAGTCAATCAAAGATGCATGGGAACTTCCACCTGAGGAGGTCAAAACAGGTGATGAATATGTTGAGGCTGAGGAGCTTGTGAAAGAAAAGGTGGATTATCTGTGTATTTTAGTGCTTAGAAGAGGAGTTCATCCAGGCCAGTTCGACTAAAAAAGGTAAAATTGAACAAATAAATTGTGTCGGAGGGAGTACGTATTATCTTTAATGTAAACATGTTTATTCGCTCATTTAATATAATAAGTGAAGATAAATTGCATAATCGAAAATGAACTTATTCAAATTTAAATAACAAAAAATAATACTAAATATTTTCAAAATGATTAATGTTGTTGTTGTTGTTATTATAAATAATGCATTATTATTCCTTCAACAAATAAATTATTCCTCTCTCTCTCTCTGTCTCTGTGCAACATTCCTTTTCATTGTCTCCCCAACTTTCTCCCTCTTCTTCCTTCCTCCACATCAGCGAGCTAGCGATTATTTGGTTATTTCATCTTCCCCTCTTTGATCTTCATCGATCATCATCTTCCTTGATATGAAGTTTACTGAGGCTGGGTGCTGCTTCGTGGGATGATGAAGGAAGGGAAACCCTTTACGGGGATTGACGCAGGCTCCCCAGCCTCGGTAAACCGTGCCTCCGTCAATCCCCATAAAGGGTTTCCCTTCCTTCATCATTCTGCGAAGCAGCACCCAGCCTAAGTAAACTTCATATCGAGGAAGATGATGATCGATGAAGATCACAGGGGAGGAAGATGAAATAACAGCTCCCTCGCTACTGTGGAGGGAGGAAGAAGAGGGAGAGAGTGGGGGAGACAAGAAGATCGGGGGATTAAATAACCGCTAGCTCGCTGATGTGGAAGGAGAAAGAAGAGGGAGAGAGTGGAGGAGACAATGAAAAGGAATATTGGAGAGGTTGCACAGAGATAGAGAGAGGAATAATTTGTTTTTTGAAGGAATAATAATGCATTATTTATAATAATAATAATAATAACAACATTAATCATTTTAAAAATATTTAGTATTATTTTTTGTTGTTTTTTTTTGAATGTTATTGACTTCTATTACAAGGTAGTATCTGTTCATACTATTCTCAAGCTAATGACGCACAAAGAGCCAATGTTGCTGCCTTCGTTGGGGCTCGAACCTGGGTGAACTTCCCCATGAATCCTGGGGAGTGGGCTTGCTACCACTCAAGCCAGGGGAGAAGTTCTATTTTTTGTTGTTTAATTTTGAATAAGTTCATTTTCGATTATGCAATTTATCTTCACTTTTATATAAAATGAGCGAATAAACATGTTTACACGAAAGATAATACGTACTCCCTTCATCACAATTTATTTGTTAAGTTTGACCTTTTTTAGTCAAACTGGTCTGGATGAACTCCTCTTCAAGGATGATCATCATAAGGGTAGGATGAACTTGTCCCCTTATGCTTCTTGATGGATATCTTTTCTACACGGCTAGGCTACGTTTTGTTGTTACTATGACCTATGAATATACTCCGATTTTCACAAAAAAAAAAGAAGAAGATAAAAGTCCCTTAGGGTCGCGTTTGGGCGGGTGCGCTTTTTGGAGGGTTAAGTTGTATCTTTACACACACACACATTTGAGATTTTATAAAAATTGAAAGATTGACATAATATGATTTACATGGCCATATAACATTTCAACGGACTTTTATTCGATTTTAGAAACATTATATTTATCAGATAGAGGTTAACCCTACAAAGCCTTCCCCTTCAAGACCCTTTGTTCAAAGTTCAAACAGGCACTTACTCTGCTTTACTTTCTGATAAGATTTGGTCAGGCATCAAAATGGCTCTCAAGTCCTCTTGAAATTCTATGGAAGTCATTCAGTCTTGTGTTTTTCGCGGTAAGAACATCCTCTTCAACAGTCAAATGTTTTTTCCCTCTCTTGAGTCTCTTCCAGTTAATTAATAAAAATGTGGGAATCTCAAAATCTTGTATTCGTAAGGTTTGTATTCATGGCATGCCCAGTCCATCATATTCCACAGTTTCAGTTTATTTTATGGTGTCAATCTTTTTTTAGAGCGCATGATTTTCTTGTAGGAATGGGGAGACCGCTCTATGCTCGCTACAATAGCTCTTGGCGCTGCCCAGGTATGTGCACCATCATCTTGTGTTAACATTAGGTTGCAGTTTTTCTTTATCTTTTATGGGGTCTAGTAACTTCCCCTTTGAAAAACAAGGATGAACCCCATTTCTAGAGTCTCCCAGGACCTACGGGAAAAAGGTAAATTGAGCTATAATCTTAATCTGACAAATAAGGAGTGTGATATGTCCCCGGTATGTTCAAGGGCTGTATGCTATGCATGGTCACCCGTTATCGGTATTGCTAGAAGTCGAACTTGGGTATCACCCCTTTTGTTTGTGCAGTCTCCATGGGGAGTAGCAAGTGGAGCTATAGCTGGGCACTTGTTGGCAACATCTCTTGCCATTCTTGGAGGTGCATTTCTTGCTAACTACATTTCTGAAAAGCTGGTAACAATTACTCATCCATGGCTTCCATATCATATCATTTATATACATACACACACACACACACCCACCCACCCACACACACACACACACACACATATCAAATAAATGTGAATCTTCAGTCTTTGTGTTCTAAGCGGCGTGGTTTGTTTGGGACCACCATGATCAGGTGGGCTACCTAGGTGGAGCGCTGTTTTTGGGTTTTGCGGGGGCCACTCTCCTCGGTGTTTTTTAAGGATGCCTTGCAAGAAGAAAAATTACCCCTTTGAAAGGATTAATCACATATTTGTCCAGGACTGGCCGGACAGTTACCTGAACAGGGCCGGTGTATGGCTTTGTGCGGGGGGGGGGGGGGGGGGNAGAAAGGACTAAGGATCTATCTTTATGCTAGATACCTTAACCTGGAAATGGTGTAATTACTGTGAAGGATGATGGATAGATGCTTCAGTAAACAAGCCTTGGGGTATTTAGTTATGTCCAGTCTCATTTGGTTGTGCATTTATTGTAAGCTGGGGGCTCGCTATTGGCCCCCAAGACCTTCCTCGTTGCCATCTGTGAGTCTGTCTCGTAGCGTCAAAAGAACCACTTCATGAAAATATATTGCTCTCTTGTTTTGTAAAATTTTACGCAGTTTTTAAATACGTGAATTTTATATTTTTAATTTTATACTAACTTTTAAATAAATTGATTTAAAAATCATTTTAGTGAAATATTGTAATGTGAAACCTTTTGCATTACCCACTTTTTTGGGTCTTCCTAAAATTTTATTCTCATTTTTTTATTTGGCAAAGAGTGAAATAGTCTTTTATAATATGATGATTTTCTAATATGGTCCTCTATCCCAAATTTTTACTTCAAATGTTTGTAGTCTTTCATATGTATTTGAGATTTATTCTATGACAAGTTATTTGTGTATTACATATAGAAATGAATATAATCTTTGTGGCCCCCTATATTTAGAATATTTTTCTCTAAATAACTCATTATCGAATAGTTCTCAAATATAGAGAATCACGAATGTAATAAGTTGGGGTAAAAGACTTGGCTTTGAAATTCTATTATACGACCATCTAAAGAATTTTACTTTTTGTCAAATAATTTTGGGTTAGTTATCCTATTTACCGTTACAATTAATTTCACTCAACCCCCATTTAGCCAATCCAACCTCATCTATGTATTGAAGCCTTCTTAAGAGTGGATGAGATGTTACATCTCATGGAGTCCTCTGTGCATTACCATCAAGGTGCCATATCTCGATGGAGCTAGCCTCGCCTCAAAGGTGATGGTTGAAGTCGACGTCACATCTCTATTTACCCGATCTGGAGTCAACGTCAGCATTGTGCCATTGTCATTAAATAGCACCTTTAGAGTGCCATATCCAAATGCAGCTGATGGAGATATGGGTCGAGGGACCTTGGCGCCATAGGCCTTGGGCTCGGTCAAGCTTATGTTTGGCCGATGGTATTATGAGACACGACAAAAGACGAAATGTTCGGCCTCATGACACCCTCGGCCAAATCTTAGGCAGCCCCGTGTCCATAGGGGCCCACTCTATGCTAACATAGACGACTCCAGCACAGTAAGGTCACGGTCAGCAAGGGGCCCGCCATGGAGGCAACTCCTGGGGACTAGCGAGGCTAAGGTCAATATATAAGCGTCATAGGAGAGTGATGTGTCATAAAGATAGAGACAAATGTAATTAATAGGCTCGTGGGCTGCGACCCAAGAGGGATTAGGGCGTGGCCTAATATGTAACTTGTATAAATAGGCCCCTTCATCCTCATGGAATGGGATCAAATTTTGAGTTCTTCAGTGCTAATATATTAAACTTCTCTACTATTTGACTACCTCATAGTCTAAAATTCATGATCAGTCAATCTAACTAAGATTTTGAATACGAAAAGCATTCTTAGAAAGTCAAAAGTTAAAAATCATCCTAATTATATGGAAAGAATATTATAAGACGGAAGAAGCAAAATTCAAAGAACAAGGGTACTTTGTACTTCTTAAGAAATTATATGTAATGTATTTACAATTCTAATCCGTTAGATTTAGGTCAAAGACTCAAGGTTATATTTGAGTCGTTGAAGTTGAGGTATTTTTGTTCGAGTTATATCAGTTTCAGGTTAGATACAATTCAGGTGATTTCAAATTTGGTTTTAAATAATGTCGAATAAGTTTCAGATTAGTTTAGGTTCCGACTTTGGGCACTTTGGTTTGTATTCAAATTGGATCAATTAGATTTTGATTCGATTAACTATTTAACGAGCTTCTATATGGTACAGTCGATTGTACCTAAAAGTGGGTACAACTGGCTAGCCCACCGCATATGGGTACCAGAAATGACATCGCCACTATGCTCACATTGATCATCCTTACTTGTCATACTCTGAGCTTCAATTATAGGAATTCATGGTCGTTGTCGCTGGACCTAGGGTTTCGACCCATACGAGCGACTTCCCCAATATGTATCACCGCCATCGTCGTCGTACATTCGTGTGATCTGACCTAGGGTTTTTTTCGTCGTCGTCTTCGCTAATCTATTATGCTAGTGTGTTGTCATTTCCTTCATCACTCGAGTCACCCGATCTAGGGTTGTCGCTTACTTGTTGTTGTTGATCCATAATCGAGTGCACTTAGAGATTAGTATAGTCAGTTGTACCATATAGTGCGAGGTATTATTTTTATTAAAAGTTTTAGATCAGGTCTCGTTTGGGAGAGTACCTATACCATACATCTGGATGTATGATGTTTCGTGTACGTCTAGGGGTGGGCAAAAGAACCGAACTAGCATGATATCATATTGAATTGTAATGGTACCAAACTGTTTATAGTGTTTTCAAACGGAATTGATTTTTTTCATCACGAACCGAAACCAAACCGATATCAAATGAGACGAAACCGTGATACAAATATTTAAAACCGATTATCACGGACTGAACCGTCTAAAGCTATATACGGAGTACGTATCTCAAATCATTATGGAGCATTTGTCTATTCCATCTTACCGTATATAGGGTACTTAGATTTTATTGTTCATTTTTAAATTCTTTCATTATTATTGTTGTTATTATATTTATTACCACTATTGGCATTATTTTTTATAGTTATTAATAGTTCAATAATATACACATTGAAAAAAAAACTATTTTTTAAATCTGGACTCGTTATCATTTATTCTTTATGTTCGTGATATGTTTAAATTCGAAATCAATACTTCTATTTAACAAAGTTGTGTTTTTTATACAAATTTATACATTTAGTTCAATGTTCTTTGAGTAATGTACATTCATTTTTTTGGCACGATTTGCACATGAGTATGGTATTGTACCATTCTGTTTCAAAACGGAATGATGTCGAATGACTACCGATATCGAACCGTTTAAATCAGAGCGATTCGTGATAGGTTCCGGTAGTATCACGGACCACAGTTATGTCTATGTACACCCGCTTGAATACTCATTTTCGAATAACTAAATATTCATTTTCAGATAATACAATTCTCATTTTTGAGTAATTGAATACTTGTTGAGTATAATTGAACTTTTAAAGAATGAATTTTAATGAATTTGTAAGAATAAATTTTTAAGAAATGTACTCCAAAGTTCGAAGTTCAGACATATAGTTCGGGTCGGGCCGGGTCGAATCCCGAGTTTTCCTTCATCTCTCTCAACTCGCGGATAGTCATTCGTATGTGGAAGCAAGGACAGACGGACTCGGGACTTCCATTGTCGAGGAACAGTCGAGAATTGAGCAAAGATGACGGAGGCAATGATAAGGAAGAAGCCAGGCATGGCGAGCGTGAAAGACATGCCGCTTCTTCAAGACGGACCGCCACCCGGAGGTTTTGCTCCGGTCCGGTTCGCCCGTCGGATTCCCAACACCGGTCCCAGCGCGATGGCCATTTTCCTCACTGCTTTCGGCGCCTTCTCTTGGGGTATGTATCAGGTCGGCCAAGGAAACAAGAAGCGCAGGTACAGCTAGCGCCTTTATTTCATGAGATTTACTTTGATTTCATCAGGATCGTGTTTGAATGGCACAATTCAGATTTCAATTTGTGTTGTCTACTCCGTCTGATTTTTCGAGCTGGTGGCTATATTTATAGAGATTATGGATGCCCAGGAGCTTCCTTAATTAAAGAACCGATTCTTTTTTTACTGAATGAAATCTTAAGTTTTGTAATTGAAATAGTGGTGAGTACTGGATTTATTCATTTTGAGTTGAGTTCTTGAAGATTTTAATTGTAGATTGAGCTAGGTGATTGAGCCAGCGTCTCTTGGAAACGACCTCCAAGTATGAGGGATTCAAGTGGGTTTGTTGTTGTTTTTATTGAGCAAGGCAATTCTTGAAATGTGCCATATTTTTTATTCAATATGGCTTGGAGCACTTACAATTCAATGTGTCATTACATGGCAGTTGCCACTTGAATCCCCCCTTTTGAGTTTTACTTATGAGATATGATGTCTTATGGGAACGGGGAGAAAACTGAAAAAGAAATGGTCAATGCTAAATGAGGGAAGCCGGGAGAATATGAGTAGTAGTAGTGGCTGTGTCACATGCCTGGAGGCATATAACAATGGGCAGATTTCTGCTTCAATTCTTTAGTGGTGAATTTGAGTCGTAGTGTGTATTCTAACTACACCTCTTATGGTCTATTGCCTATCAGGACGCTATTGGCTTAGTGGCTTGCTACAGTCACTTCTCTAATCTCCAGTATTCGTGCATTGCCTGTAGATGAATTTAAGAGTTCAAACCAAATCTTAAAGCAATTGAACTATGAGAGCTTGTATAAGGGTAGTTCTGATGTCCTTTTCATCCCTTAATAGTTAAGAATATTTTTAATAATATAGCAAGATAAAGGTGCTACTTAAAGAGTTATGTTTCTTACTTTGTATCATATTTTTGTCCCAAAACAAGTCAAATGTGTTAATATTAGTTAATCATTTTATTTTACTAAAGTTAAATTTTTGTACACCAATGAAACTTGACTCTTTTTATGTGACGGAGGGAGTGAAAAAACTAAGTTCAAGGGAAAAATAGACTCAGATGAAGGAGTGTCTGCAGTGCTGAGGATATGGTTTTCAAGCTCTCTTTGTGGGAACTGGAAACTAGGAAGTATGTTAGTCTGTGTTGGTTTCCTAACCTAGATTGAAGAGGTTTCAAAATAATAGAATTTTTCCACTTCTACTTGTTTGTTCAGGATTCAAAGATGCGGTTTCAGAGAGAAAACCTTCATAGGAAAGAATAATGAGACCAAAAATTTAAACCGTCAATCCGTCATTATCCTATTTCTACATGCATGGGGAAAAAAGAGATTTGATATTGTATTTTTTCTGTAGTACAAGATTAACATTGTAAAATCAACCTGCAAAACATGGAACATGACAAAGGATTGGTAATGTGGAGAAACACTTTTTTTTTAGTTTGTATTAAGCCCTTCTTTCATGTGGTTACCTTTGTATTTAGATCATTGATGACTGGTAATGTTAAATGGCGGCTATCGCGGAATGTTGTGGCAGTTTTTTTCCATCCCTCATAGATAAACTTGCACTGACAAATGAAATTATCATTATGGATTATGATCAAATCTACTTATGAAAGACAGAAAGAGATC